CGGAGTTCCGGCTGGCTTCAGAGTTGGCCACACCCACTGCAGCCAAAACCTCTGCACGTGCGTGGCTCCAGAGGGAAGGCCTGGAGAGTGACCCACCCCCGGCAAATCTGAGGTGGATGGGCCAGGGGGGCCCCTGGAAGGATCGGGGAGGCATTTAAATACCTCCCTGTGCCTTCCCCAGCCTGTCCAAGGGCCGGCTTTGCCCGGGCAAGCCAAGGGAAGGCAGGGGGTGTGGCCTAATATGCTAACGAGCTGTGCTGTCGGGGTGTGGCCTAATATGCTAATGAGTTTTGCTGTTGGGTGTGGCCTATTATGCTAATGAGTTCCTGCTGGCCTTTTTCTACAAAAAAAGCCCTGGTATCTATCAGACCATACATCTATGCCTCACTACCAAATTCTTCCATCTACAACAGCCCACTGTATCCAGTTTCTGGCAATTTTTTCCCCCTCTTGTGCCACACTATTACCATAAATACATGTTACTATATACAAGACCCTATACTTCAGGTCGCTCCTGCCAACCTAGCAGTTCGAAAGCAAGACATTGCAAGTAGATAAATAGGTACCACTTCGGTGGGAAGGGAACAGCGTTCCGTGCGCCTCGGCATTTAGTCATGCCGGCCACATGACCACGGAAACGTCTTCGGACAGCGCTGGCTCTTCTGCTTTGAAATGGAGATGAGCACCGCAACCCTAGAGTCGGACTCGACTGGCTTTCGAGCAAGGGAACCTTTACCTTTACTTTATACTTCAGGTCATGAACAGGATAAATATTAATGGATTTCAACGTATATAGCCAAAGCAGAAGCAAGGCTTAGGAGAAGCTAACACAAACATTTCACAAGACGAAAAAAAAAAATTAGCTTATCTTAGAAAAATAAAACACTGATCTTCTAAAATTAAAATGAAATGCAAATTGCTTTACTGTATGCACCATGCGTCACACACACACCTTTTCCTCTGGTTTTATAGGTGTACTATATTGTTTGGGAACATAACTGCAAGCCAGAATATCCTCATACTTGTTAAAAAACTGATCTTGACGGGATTTGGAGGACTGTGCCATTATACAAATGGCAACAAGCACAATGCTACCAACGCAGAGTCACGGTGAGTTTTTCATGGGGCAAAACAGTACAGAACACAGGTTTTTCTCCCCGGGGGAAATCCTAGCAAACAGCTACAAAGCCCAACAGCTGCTACCGTTGCCTCTTACAATAAATAATGCTAATCACAGGTTATCTCCCGATCTCAGTTTGAGAATACAGCCCAGCAGATAGACTCTTGGAATTGGGATAACTGGATTTAAACGCTCGCTCAATTATGAACTTAGTCAATGGTTTCAGGCAAGCTGATGGCACTCAGTATCCATTCATCACCCTCTGTAAAATTATGATTGTGACTTCCCTCACCAGATTAAGTATTACTTGCAGCAAGGAGGAATGAGAAGGAATACTATCCGTCTTTAACTTTACAGATGCAGCTACGTATCTTCAGCACTTTCTCTATCCAGTTCACTTTTTATAAAGCGAGTGTGCTTATATGGTTTTTATTGAATTGTTTTAGGTATTATTTCAAATGCTGTTTTCGACGTTCAAACGTTTTCATGTTTGCAACCCCTGGGGGACCCTATTTGGGTGGCCCCACTGGTGGACCTCCTCATGGCACTGGTATTTCTGGCCACTGTGTGATACAGAGTGTTGGACTGGATGGGCCTTTGGCCTGATCCAACATTGGCATCTCTTATGTTCTTATGAAAGGCACCAAAATGTTTTAAATAATACAGCACTGGCCCAGTAACATAAACTACTGGGATCTACAAACACCCCCTGATTCTATGACTTGGGGACAATGTTTATGACTATTTGTTGAATTCAGGATGAAAATATCCATGTTAAATGGCCATGTTTATCCAGTTTTAAATGGCCATGTTTATCCATTTTTATGGAAGATGTAAGAATATTTGCCAGCTAAAAAGGTAAAGGTAAAGGTTCCCTACAAACACCCCCTGATTCTATGACTTGGGGACAATGTTTATGACTATTTGTTGAATTCAGGATGAAGCAGTTAAATATCCATGTTAAATGGCCATGTTTATCCATTTTTACAGAAGATGTAAGAATATTTGCCAGCTAGAAGCAGTTAAAAAATAAGCAGTTACGTGCCCATGAAAAGTTGGAGTACTGGAGTCTGGCTATAAAGGAAGCTAGCAAGCTTTGTTAGTGCTGAATAAACTTAACAGTGTATTGACAGAGATGTGTTTGATCATACCTATGCCATTTAAAGGTTAACTGCAAGAAACCAAGGGATACGGGGTGGTTTATCTCTTACAGCAGCATGAACTTTGTTAAGAGAAGCCCTAACATTTATATTTAAGATCACATTTAGTAGCATTCTGCCACACTTTTTCGGCTATCACATTTTGAAGTCACACTGGTTGTAAGCGAAGGCTTGAATCGCTGTCCAATGGAACAGCCCACATACAAAATGATTAATGTAGTTTGGCTGGGAACACAGAATTTGAAAGTCATGCGGTACAGTCCGCCCATAGTTACACACGTCTTCCAAAGAAAAACGTCAGCATGTCCTTCGCTCTCTCTCGAGTTCAACAGAACTTATTCCCAAGTAATTGTTCATGGGATTGATAACTTACAAGTGGTCCTGTCTGGCTGCAGGTCTGACGGGAGCTGACCAGTAAGGCGCCCTGTGAAGGTATTTTAAATATGTCACAGAACACCTTCAAACATCTTTGGAATTCCGGTCCACAAATTGTGGAATTAATGAGGCTTTTGCCATTTAATTCTAGGGCCCGCGCGTTTTCACCCTCACACGATGATGAAAAACTTGAAGTTCTGATTGACAGCAACTGACAGTATCGAATCATCCACACATGGGATACTCAATACTGTAGCCCTTATCGCAGCCGCACCCCCCCCCCGGAAGACAAGACTAAGAAAATTATGATGGTCCCATAAAAAAAACACCCTGAATCAATGTTCCCTCTAAGCTGTGGAGTCTTGTGAGCAAAAATTCTACTTTGTGAGCTACTGGCATTAAAGTGGTGAGTGAGCGATTTGGCTGCTGCATAAATCAGTTTGATCTGGAGTCATCCTTCCTAAGCCAAGACAAAAATGTGTGAGCCGGAGGCTAAAAAACTGTGAGCTAGCTTACACTAACTCAGCTTAGAGGGAACACTGCCCTGAATATGCTTCAGCAAAAGCTGAAACAAAAAAAAAATAAAAACCTGATGTGCTTCAATATTTATGTGGAGAAACATGATACAGAACAGCAAGGTTCTTTTTAATTGTACATTTATAGAACTGACTTCATAGCCAAGTAGACCCAAACAAGCGCTTGAACGCTATCATACAAAGAAAAGCTCTGGAGCTAGCAAAAGATGTAAACATATTTTGCTCACAACACAATGAAGGTTTAATATACATACATCTGGTTCACGGGTATGATAGGGATAGAGGTTTCTTAAAAACCTATACGGAGAAATTCAATGTTCTCAAGCAGCAGTGTTTATATATACAGGGTGGGGAAGGACAGACTGCTCCCCACAAATCATGTTTTCTGCAT